GGCTCCACAGCCTGGTCAGGAAGCAGTTAGGGAAGCCCGTCCAGCAGCAGGAAGGGAAGGAGAAGGAAGCGCGGCTGGAGGGAGATCGGCCCTTTGAGGACCATCGCCGGGCACGCGCGCATGCGCAGGTCTCCCGTGACCGGAGCCGAGCACTGCCTGGGCGAGTGGGGACCCACGCTCGGTCCCTCCAGCTGCAGCCTGGCTTGCACAAGCCTTGCTCCCTCGGGCCCGTGGCCATAACTGCTGCCTCCTCAGCGCCAGGGTTAACAAAGAAGCGGCACAAACAAAGGCAGGTGTGTCCAGTCCTGCCCCGGGTGGCTCCTGCCTGGCTGCCCCCCCTCTTCCCTGGCAGAGACAGGGGGCCACGTTACCCGGCCTCTCCGGTTGGTGTGACACCGGTCAAAGTATTTCTTTCCTTGCACATTTCTCATTTTTCCTTCATTAGCCTTTAAGAATGGGCTTGGCCAGGAGAAGTCAAGGATTACTGACACCCGTCAAGCATTTTCTCAGCTGTCCACTGAGTGATCTCGGGTGTGCAGGGGCCTAACGGGTACCACAGTTTGCCCTTCCTCCAGCTCCAGTTCCCTGCCTGTCTCTGCCTTGTGCATCGGCCCCAGGGGCCTCCAGAGCCAGCCCTTACTTCCCTCATCTCTCCCTTCCGCTCTCCCCGCCCCCGGCCTTACCTCGCACTTCTCCAGCACAGCAGCACCAGGGAGGGACCGTGACCTCTGCGCTTGCTTCCCAAGGCCGCAGGCAGGCCATCCCCCCAAGGCTACCCAACCGTTCTCACCAGACCCCAGCAGCGTGCCAATAAAACCCTTCGCAACAGCTAGGAGAGGCCGTATTTTTCAAGTCCAGGGATGCCTGTGGCAGCAAAACCTACTGTGCCTTCCTGCCACGGGTCTGTGAGGCGCCCAGGAGCAAGGATTTCCTGCATTCTGTATTTGGAAGTAACCAGGGAGGGAGGAGACAGGAAGGGAGAATGGTAACCGTTTGGGGTACCCAAAGAATTCCTGAGGCAGGAACATCGGCATTCCTTTTGCCCTGTTCCCCGTCCCTGTCTCTGGAGCCCCGTGAATAAACCTGGCATCTGCCTGGCAGAGCACAAAACATCTGCCAGCTATCTTAACCCTTCAGCACACAGTTCACTAGCTGCATCTGCTGTGCACGATACCGATGTCCGTGCAGGCTGCTTCTTGCTCACCTGGGCTCCGGAGGGCAGGGGCAGAATCTGGTATACTGCCTCGAATGCTTCTTTCAGAGGGACCCACATATCAGAGGTTCAGTAAGATCTGTCCCAGAGCTTTGCTGTTGGGGTTCTTCCCTCCTTTCCCTCTTCCTTATGATATTCCACATCTCCTCCTCTTCCTCAGCCTCCTCCTCCTTCCCTCGCTCTTCTCTCTCTCTCTCTCTCTCTCTCTCACACACACACACACAGAAGCATCTTTAACCTAAAAAAAAATGCCCAATAATCACATTTGCATTGGTTTTTATCCTTTCCAAAGTGTTTCTACCCATATTATGTGATTATCTTTGATTATTACAACCGAACTCAAAGGCAGATTTTTTTTTTTACCACCTTTGACAGGTGGAAAAAAACTCAAGTATGGCCAGTGAGAGAGCTTAGAATAAAAACCAGTCAATCATTCATAGATCTAGTTAATGAATATTTATTGCACACTACATTGTACCAGGAATTATGCCAGACACTGGGAACACAGTGATGAATAAGTAAGCACTATCTCTGTCTTTGTGGAGCTTACAGTCTACTAAAGACGACAGACATTGAAACAAATAAGTTTGATAAGGTGCAGGATGTGTGATAAAAAAGAAAATGTAGGTAGCCTGGAAACATAGAGCAGGTGGACTCAAACCTAGCCTACTGGTCAGCACCCCCGCACATGCACACACAACCAATGTACGATCATGAGGCTGAGACCAACAAGATGACTAGAAGTCAGAAAGATGGAAGAGAGAATGGGCACAGGGAGGTAGAAAGGTCCAGAAATTGTGAGGGCCAAGAAGAAGAAGAACCCAGCACTATCCAGGAACTAAGAGAAATCCAGCTTGGTGAAATAGAGCCTGGGAGAAGAGGAGGCTGGAGGGTTGCCTGGGGTCAGCTTAGGGAGGGCTTCCAGAAGACCACACTTGGGGGCAGGACTTGTGTCTTACAAAGACCCTTCTGGCCATAGTGTGGATGATGGATTGAAGACCAAGACTGCAGGCAAAGAAAGCAGTTAAGAAACTACTCCTGGAACTCAGTAGGGTTCAGAGAGGCAGAGACAAATGGAAGATTTTATATTGGTATGGAACAGTCTTCAAAATGTATTAAGTGAAAAAAGCAAAAACTGTTTCTAACAAGCTGTACCATTACATGCTTTTTTAAGGGGAATATATACATACATATGCTTGGATATATACAGAGTATTTTTGGAAGGATTGTTAAACTTTTATTAATGAATGTCCCTGGAGAGAACACCAGAGGGGCTAGGACAGAGGTAGGAAAGTTTTTTCCCCTGTATATCTTGTGTGCTTGTTGAATTCTGTGCTATGTCATGTATGATCTAACCAAAATTAATTCTTTTCAAAGCAGATGTTTTAGGGAACAGAATCCACAAGATTTGAGATTTACAGGACTTGAGAGTTGACAGAAATGTGTTTAAGATGGCGCCCAAGTTCTGGCTTAGGCAACGTTGCCTATTATTTGGTAGGGAACTCTGGTGGAGGAGCAGGTTTGGTGAGGAAAAAAAAGCTGTTCCATTTGGGACATGTTGAGTTTGAGGTGTTTGTAAAATATCCAGGCTCAGCTGTCTAATAGATAGGCATCCAAGCTGTTCATGCCTGGAGCTTAAGAGACAGATCTGAACCAAAGATAGGGAGTGGGGAGTCATGAACATGTGCATGTTAATACAATCTGCAGAAGCAGGTGAGACTGCCCAGGTGGTGAGAAAAACAGAGAGCCTTGTGGACCAAAAATATTTATGGGATTTTTGTAGAAACGCAGCAGCCAGCATGGTAGGAGTGTGTGGCACTAATGTGCTGAGAGGTGGTGAGTGGTCGACCGTAGTCTGAAGGCTACCGAGAGTTCAAGCAAGATTGAGACTTCAGTGAGCTTAGCCAGAGGTAGATAACATGAGAGATGTCAGTAGCATGGAGACGCAAGGTCAAATCACAATGGTTGAGGACTCAGTGTGAGGTCCGTAGACAATGGAGTCGTCTCTAAGAAGTTTGGCCCTGAATAGGGAATAGAAAAGAGGGCAGTAGCTGGAAGGAGGGAGAAGGGTTGAGGGAGGGTATCTGCCATTTCTTTGAATATGGGAAAGGATAGAGCATGGTTATTTGCTAACCCCCAGAGCTAGTGGAGAGGGAGGGGGTGAGATACACAAATGAGAAGATACACAAAAGGGGACAGTGATGGACACGGCTGTCTGAAGAGACAGAAAGAAAACTGAGTCTGGAACTCAGATGGGAGTTTAGCTTTACACAAGAGAGGAAGTGCTTCCATTGTAAGGAAAATAAGAGGAATCACGATGACTGAGCACTTTTAGAAACCCTGCAACCTGTGGCCGAGTGTGTAGGACCCTGTGCCTGTACATTCGTGTGATCCCTCACTGTTCCACACTCATCTGTGCTTTGTATGAGTATCTACAAGAATCTACCAGTGGTTTCATAAATCCCATGTACCTTTTTGCTATTCCAGACCACAGTCCTCCTAAAAGATATTATGGCTTTCGGGTGAAGGTGATGATAGGGCTAGGGTGAGGTGCAACGGACTGGAGACAAGAGGGAGACTGTCATGAGCCCAGTACTGGGTGCCCTGGACACTATCTCCCAGTTTCCTCCCTAGATAGGGATGGCCCATCCTGCGTTGTTGTTGCCACCCCACAACTCAGCACAGGGGCAGAGGGAGGTGGGGGTGGAGGATGGCTGCTGGAGGAGACGTAGCCAGGAGCCTGCTACCTCCATGCACAAGGATGATTAGCTGCTAATGAGCCACCTGAGGGACAGACCAGGGACAGTCCCATAAAAGAAATGATTGAGCTGTTCAAGCACAGAAAGGCATAATTTACCACACTTATTTAAACATACACCTGGACACAAATAAGATACAAACACGTTAGACTGTGAGCCTCAAAAAGCAAGGATAAGACAACTAAAAAACAACAAAAAAACCAACACAATTTAAACAGAGATGAAGGACTTGAATAGATATTTCTCCAAAAATAAATATAGAAAGGGCCAATAAGCATATGAAAAGATGTTCACTGTCATTAGTCATTGGGGAAATACAAATCGTAACCACAATGAGACACCACTTCATACACATTAGGATGGTTATTATCAGAAGAAGAAAAAGAAGAAGAAGAAGAAGGAGGAGGAGGAGGAGAAGGAAAAGGAGGAGGGGGAGGGAGAGAAGAAAAAAGAAAAACAACGAACAGTATGGCAATTTCTCAAAAAATTAAACAATAATTGCTGTAAGATCCAGCAATTCCACATCAAGCAATATACCCAAAGGAATTGCAAGCAAGGACTCGAAGAGAAGTATATACCAATGTTCATAGTAGTGTTACTTACAATAGCCAGAAGGTGGAAACAACCTGAATGTCCACCAATGGATGAATGAATAAACAAAATGTGGTCTATCCATACAATGAAATATTATTTGGCCTTTAAAAGGAATAAAATTCTGATGCCTGCCACAACATGGATGAATCTTGAAAATATTATGCTAAGTGAAATAAACCATGATTCCACTTCCATGAGGTATCTAGAGTAGGCAAATTCATAGACACGAAGTAGAATATTGGTTATCAGGGGCTGTGCGGAGGTATGGTGGGGACTTCGTGTTTAAGGAGTACAGGAATTCCAGTTTGGGGTGATGAAATTGTCCTATGATGAAGAGCAGTGATGGTGATGCAACAATGTAAGTGGACTTAATGCCACTGAACTGTATCCCTGAAAGTGGTTAAAATAGTAAATTTTATGTTATGTGTATCTTCCCACAATCAAATTATTTAAAAATCAGGCAAGAATAAAGGACATTTCTTCTTGCAGTTTTCTAGTTGGGATTTGGTTGCCAGGAAAGGAGAGTCCTACAGGGGTATAAGAAAAAGGGAGGGGCCACTTCAGTGCCACACCTGGCTCTTCCCACGGTAAGCCTTGTGGAACCAGGCAGGCTTCACAGCTTACTACGGTCTAGGGCTGGCATGAGGCAGAAAGAAAGATGATCCACATGTTGGTCTAGCATCCCTATCTCTTGTCTTTGATGGCCAAGTCCAACTTTCCTTGAAGAGATACCTTCTTTTCTCAAGATGTGGGACTTCCAGGAGCCCAGGAGCTATGTGGGGCAACAGATGCCCATTGCCCATCTCCAGAAATGCTGATGTGAAGGTGAGACATGGCCTTTAAGAATTATTCTGTTGACCCCCTCCCCACAGTTAACAGGCATGAAAATTAGATACCGTTCCCCATCTAGGCCCACCTGTTTGTCAGGCCAACGGTAACAAGGGTCCTCATCATAAATGATAGATATTGTCCTCTCCATCCCCCTCGCCAAGGTCCAGCCCAAGATTTCCATGTCCCAGGGTGTTACGACGAAGGATCTCCCAGCCCCGGTGACTACTGCTGTGAGATGTGGTCCGGGACAGGGAGGGGGTCAGGGGGGACAGAGAGGCTCTGGCTAGGGTCCCACTTTCAGTCGCAGAAACAGAGGGCTGTTTCTCAGAAAGCTGCTCTTGTCCATCCTCCTTGTCTGAGCCCTTGAAAGCTTCCACGTAGCGAAGCACTCGCAAAGGATTTTGATCATGGTGGTTCTCAACTCTGAGGAGGGCAAAGGGGAATGGACTCAGTTGAGGTGAAGAGAAAAGGAGAGGACAGGGGAAAGAAGGGACCAGAGTCCCAGGATCAAATGAAGGGAAGTGCAGTAGAATGGAGGGTAAAGTGGGATAGAGACCGAAAAGGTAAGCAGTCAGGATTTGGAGAGTAGTGGGGCCTGCGTGTGTGTGTGTGTGTGTGTGTGTGTGTAATAGTGAACATGAAAGAGAAAATGGAGAGAGAGGGAAGACCATGGTCAGGAGCTGAAGGTAGAGTATGGAGAAGGTTAGCTTCAAGGCAAGAATATACTAGAAATGGGGGTCAGGTAGGAACAAGACTAGAAAAAGTTGGGTAGCCCATGCCCACATCTGAGTATGGACACATACATAGCCTCACACACATTATTGCCCTGATGTACTCGCAGCCTGGCATCAGCTATTAGTGGTCTTGTCACCCTCCTCATCAGCTCCACCCACCTCCCTTAAACAGGCTAATGCAGTCTCACTTTATAGAGTGATGATGTCTCCTTTGGATCCAATTGGGGGTCTCAGGAATGAAAAGATGTGCGATAAATGTGGAACTGGTCTTCCCACTCCCATGGCCTCACACTTGTTGGCAGTTTACCCATATACACTGTCACTCACCGCAGGAACCAGCGGTCCCCCAGCCCATACTGGTACCCGCAGATCCCAGAGCGAGGCCACAGGAAGCGAGGCAGCTTCCTCTCTAGCATCACCGTGGTAGCCACCACCTGGGAGGAGTGAAAGGTAGAGGAAACTCAGCAAGAGTCATGAGGTTTCAGGGGACACTGGAGGCCACCGACATAGGGACCAAGAAGTACCTGTCAGATGGGGATACCAGGGATTGGGGAAGATGACAGTCTTTTAGCCATGCCCTAGCCTGTGCCAGGCATCATGCTATCTGCTTTACTCATCATTCATCGTAACCAGGAGAGAGAGAATATTTTATGAGTGTTTTCAATAAAACCGTGACCCCTACATTACTATTCACATTCATAGAAAATGAGTCACTCCAAACTAATTTCATTTGCCTTTTCATAGGAAAGCCATAGACTAGCTATCTTGATTTAAATGAAATGATTAAATAGAATTTCTATGATGGTGGGAATGAAATGATGCCGCTGGTGTTTAGGGAATTTGCAGCAAATTAAATACCCATATCCTACAAAGGAAAAGAGTGGGTTAATGACTGTAAACTTGGCAGGGAAAATTCTAGTGGCACATCACATGTTCTGTCCTTTGACCAGCCCTCATTAATTACTTAGATGAAACATAGAAGACAAGCTTATCAAATATGCCTGTGACACAAAACTGGGAGGGATATGTAATATGTGAGGTGACAGAAGCAATATAAAAATGATTTCACCAGACTGGAATGCTGGTCAAAAACCAATAATGTGAAATTTAAGAGAACCAAATGTAAGGTCCTCCACATTTATGTTTAAGACCAAAGTATCTGTGTAAGTACAGGAGAATGGCCAAGGAGCTTCACTAATTAAGTTGCATAATAAAGATGCAGGGGTTCTAGTTGATCATGACCTTGATAAGGGCAAATTGTATATGTGCTAAAAGACCCGGCTCAATTTAAGGTGCCACTTATTCTATAGTGTCCCAAGCAAGGAAAGATATGACCCTCTTTACACTGCACTCCTCCAATCCTATTAGGACCACTCTAGTTTTGAAAGGACCATGATCTTGGTTAGTTGAAGGCACTAGCAATCCTTAAAGTAGCCCAATTCCCCATGTCATGTTCTTCCACTCGATTTCTTACTTGCACCAAGTTCCCTCCAACCTCAGGGCTTTCAATCATTTGTTCCCTTTTCCTATACAGCTCTTCTCCTTTTTTATCTTGAAAACGACATTTCTGTGTCCTGTTGTGCCGTAAGTCAGCCCTCCCACCTTGTTCTGTTAACAGAACCCCTTTCTCTTAGAGCATTGCCCCTTCGTCACTCTGTCCATCAGTTAGAGTAGACTGGACTGCACTCGGGCCTGGCTAATTAGTCCATTCTTCCTTAAACTCCATCACCACCATCACCACTCTCCAGTCCTTGGCCTTAACCTCAAATTCAGGGATGCACTTCTGGCTCAAACCTGTTGCAGTGAGATGGAACTTAGACTGGGTTCTCAGGGGAAAGATGCTCTTTGAGGGGTTACGTGTTGCACAGCATCAGGAGGCACACAGAATACAACAGGAAAGGGGCCATTGGAATTGTGCAATGCAGAACATCTGCTCATTCCGTTGAGAATTTGGAGCTTCTAGAAGACATCTCACCAACATGATGGGAGAGACTGACTTAGGAGAGTCTGGAGAGGAGAGCAGAAAAGAGGAACTAATGTCATGTGGGAAATGGAGATACAGGCTCTGGCCAGATATGCCTAGAGCTAGTTTAGTTCTTTAAACTTCCCGGTTATGAGGACTGACACATCCTCCTCCCAATGCCTTTTTTATTTAAGTCTATTTGAGTTTGGTTTTCTGTCCCTGTAGCCAAGAGTCCTGACTGATATAACCCCTAACCTTCATCCCTTTCTCTCATTCTTCTTAACTGACTAATTCTTACCCAAGTTTAGGGGCTCATCTTAAATGCTACTCCATCAGGAAAGCATTTCCTTACTTTCCCATCAGACTGCTCTGTTGCATCCTGTTCTTAGCATCCTCTACTTCTCTGTGACACTTTTACTACTGTAATTGTACAGGCTTCTGGGGAGTCCATTGTTTAACGGCGGTCTTCCCAACCAGACTGTAGGCTCCATGAAGACACAGATGGCAACTGTGGTGTTCATGCTGGTGTCCCCATCTCCTAGACGTTTCCCAACACATCACAGGCTCTAAGTAATTATTATTAAGTGAATGGAAAGTCTCAGGGGATAAATGATGGCTGTATTCAAATGTCTGAATGGTGTTCATACAGAAGGGTGTGTCCTGTGTTATATGAGAAGAAAAGGCTGGGGCCACAGAATGGAACTATAGAAAGATAGGTTTCAGCTGAATGCAACACGGACATGTCTAGTTACAAAAACTTTTGAAATAGGACAAAGCTCTCCTCCTCCTAATCACTATCAGAATCCATATGATAATAAGGCCCTAATCAGCATTAAAGAAGATATTAAATTACCCTTTGACCAATGAATAATTAATCTCTGGGTAGGAGCTCAACTAGAGGACCACTAAAGGTACTTCCAACTCTAAAACTGTATTATCCTCAATGATATAAAGAAAAAAATCAGAGAGAAGCAAATAGAAGATAATGTCCAAATTAAAAACTAGAATATATAGGGACACCTGGCTGGCTCAGTCAGTAAAGCATGAGACACAACTCTTAATCTCAGGGTTGTGAGTTCAAGCCCCATGTTGGGTGGTAGAGATTACTTAAAAATAAAAAATCTTTAAAAGATAATTAAATTAAAAAAATAAAAACTAGAATATATAAGAATAAGACAGTTTCTAGTTCTCACTGGACCCAAGGTTGACTATTAGATCTACTTTTCCCCTGTGATCAATATGTCAGCTCTTGGGTATTGAACCTACCCCTATCATACCATTTTACCCTCCTTTTGTCTCCTCCTCTATCCAAATATATACCTTTGTTGAGGTGACAACCCCACTGGATTATTCTGTGATTCTCCTGAGAGAGTCCATAACATATTCTGCTTTGATTTTTCTCTCCATACTCTTCCCCTTAGTAAGACTAACACTAATAAACTCACCTGGGCCCTCCAGAGCTCGTCCCGCTCATGGGCCACCCGCCAGTGTGTGTCACCCATCATGGCGATGAATAGGTTGAGCATAAGCAGTGTGGCGATGATGGTGAAGGCAAAGTAGACAATGCCAAACATGAAGGGCAAGTTCACTTCGTAGTTGGCAGGCCCATCAATGACGGTGAGGAAAAGCTCAAAGGTGCTGAACAGTGCCATGGGATAGTCATAGAATTGCCCCAGATTGGCTGGGTCCTCTGTCTGGAAAATGACATAGAACGCTGCTCCGCCCAGGAAGTGGGCATGGAGATGGGGAAACAGGGAGTTATCACAATAAGTATGGGCCTAGTCATATCTCCACATACTTACACATTTGCAGACACACAGATATGCCCATAAATGTAAATATGTGACTGTATGCATGTAAGTCATATTCTACATGTGGACCTGGCTAACCCTGAGATGTCAAATGACCAAGTTCATCACTCTGGACAGTGGTAATATGTAGCCATTTAGCAAAACGTGTATATAAATTATGTGTGTGTATTATAAATATATATATTTGTGTGTATATATATATATATATACACGCACACATATAAGATGTGAAAAGCAGTTAGGTGACTCGTTACACACACACACAAAATAAGTCACCTAACTGCTTTTCACATCTTAGAAAATAGAATATTTAAAAAATAACTTGTTACAAGAATGCATGGAATCTCCAACAATTTCAAAGAACTAACATATGAAATGACTAAAAGAAAGGCACCTTTAAAAAAAAAAAATCTCAGTGACCTCTAGATAACCATCCATCACTCTGAGATTCCCTGGGTGAGCTTGGACCCTCATGGAGAAAGTTTCCCTGTTCAGTGTGTAGCCTGCTGGATAATACTACGTATCCTGGAACTTTGGTACAGCATTAGAACCTTTAAGAGACTCCTGTCCGTATGGGGAACTGAAATATAAACAAAGTGATCTCAAGAATGGAAACAGGGTCTATGACAAAGCATCAAAAAGCAAGTGCAACAACCAAGAAGAGATGGTTTCAGAGATTCTGGGTATAGGACATCTACAGAAAGCTCCTCTGTCATCATGACCTCATTTTGTAATTGGCAAGTCATGATATACGTATACTATCTGCAACGTATGCATACTATATAACTATACACACATGTTGTGAGCAGTAATTTATGATGTGTGCAGATGGGGTAGAGAGTGCAGAGAAAGAAAATATAAGGAATACTCCAAATAGTCAGACTACCACAGTTTTACCCATTCATAGCTCAGATCTTGGGGCATTTTTTTAGTCTAGTGTGGTGGGAATCCCTGTTAAATGGGAATTCGTAGGACAAGAATAGTGTCCTTTGTACTAAAAGCCATGGTCTTTTAGAGTTGGTGGGGGAGGACTTCAAATACTGCCTAGGACATCCCCTTGTCTTACGGATGTTTAGTTGCAGACATTAAAGACTGGATTTGAGTTGCCAATCTTACTGCTCTGCCATCCTCTTAGCACCTTTCCCTAAGAACTTCCTCCTACTCGTTCACTGCCCTCACCCTCCCTCTAGCTCTGGCTGTTATTTTCTGACTATGCTCCTCTCTCTACCCTGACGCTCCCCCACTTCCCCCACCAGCGGCTTGGGCTGAGACTGAGTCCCTGCTCCCTCTTTCCTCAATCTCTCTTTACAGCTCTTTTTCTTCTGTTTTCCTCTCATTTTCAAACTCTCTAAAATCTTTTTTGATACCTCCTCTTTGAATTATTTCTTTTTCTCCCAACTGCGATCACACATAGGAAAAAAAAAAAAAAGTATGTTTCTGTGTTATTGAATTCTCTCAGTTTCTTCTTCTGAAGTGTAAACATGGAAGAGTTAAATATTGCACTGTCTCTGTTTGCCCACATAGTTTTCTGAGATCCGCAACTGGCCAGTCTTTCCTATTTCATGGCCCTCTCTCTCCAAAGCCTTTCTTCTATCTCTTCTTTAAAGATCTTGCAGAGCGGTTAGTCAACATGAATATTATTGGCCCATAAATTCAGAGCACATGGTCTCCCTTCTAAGCCAACCTGAGTGACTCTGATCCTATGGATGTGAGTGTGCTTTTTCTACTGGGGTGTGGAGCAAAACAGAGTACAAATGAGAACTGAGCAAGAGCGAGCCAACTTTCTGAAGAACTGGACCCTATGACCTAGTAGAAGAGGGGATAGTGCTCTTACCTGAGGCAAATCCCAGAATAACCACAGCCATTAGCCAGCAGAAACGCATGAGGTCTCCAAAAATCATCTACAGGAAAGGGAAGGGGAAGGAGGGTGGAGTGACCCTTCTCCACCTGCCTCTCTGCAGCCATCCTGCTAGATTGGAGGCCCCCTAGCTCCACTAGATTCACTCAGAGCAGTGTTTTCCTGTGTGCTCTGACTTCCTCACTCTGTCTGGAAAGGTGCTATGGCTGAAGTCAGAGGAAGCTTTGGGGAAAGCACTGACCTTCTGGATCATGATGCTGAAGGGACCAAGCATCTGGAATCCTCGAGCGAAGTACATAACACTGCACCAGCCCAGCACCAGGGCAATGGACATGGGCACCATCTCCCCATTCATGTTGGAGAGCCGCATCACCATGGTCACCAGCACCATGCAGGCGTAGATGATGCTTGCGGGGGAGGCGGGGGGGAGGTGCAGAGAACAAGGAGTGAGAGAGGAAATACTCTTGGTCCCCTCTAGCATGGTGAAAACTTGGGTAGTACCCCCTCAGGCTTAGTCCTTACACCCAAAACACACATATGAGCCCACTGGAGAGAAATCCCTGGAGTTGAGAGTCAACTGAGGTCTAGGTCCCAGAGAGTAAATGGGAGACCTAGAACAATTCTGGCAAAGACTGAGAGGAAGGGACACTCACATGATGACATGGAATGGTCCCCCGAGGATAGTCTGTCCAAAATATCGAGAAGCACCAACCCTAAGGATGTCTGGGATCTAGGAAGAGGCCAGTAAAACAAAAAGACAATGTAGACTGCAGTTCAGTCTGGGACCCCAGGTGGATGGCCTTGGCTTGGACCCTGATGGTACCTCACCTCTAGGAGCAGGATAATCACAGCCCCTGTGACGGTCACCAACTCCCCCACCAGACGGATTTTGTCCTGCTGAGTCACGTAGGCCTCCTGTGGGGGTAAGTTCAGGGTAAGTACTTTTTGATGGATTAAGAGTCAAATCATTTTCGGGCAAGTGGTCTAAAGCAAGTGAAGTCCATCTCAGATAAAGAAAAGCTCCCATTACCACCATCAGACCTCCCACCCCCCACCATTGTATTTGTTATTGTGGCTAACTCTGTGATCAGGGCATTAGTCTATGTATCCAAGGCTTAATATACATTGTACATGCTAATAATGTGAGCCACCCCCAGTGGATCACTATAATATATATGGTGAGCAGTAATTTATGATGTGTGTACCAAGGGGCTGAGATCACATTTCAGAGCATCGAGTTAAGAAGGCTAAACCAACAGGAAGAGGTATTAGTGGTTTGGGATGGTTTCAACTATGCTGAAAGTCCAGTTTTTCCAATTTCATTGTGGTCCTTGGAAGATAGACTAGACTATAAACATATCACAGAATTCGATTCCAGAACGGACCCAGAGCCAACTAGTTTTAGCAACACCTTCAATAAGCCACTAAATCTCTCTGAGTCTGAGGTTTCTCATCTGTAAAATGGAGACTATAATGCTTTACCTTTCAGTGTTATTGTGGAGATCATATTAGATGATGTATCTGGATATAGTTTAGAAACCAGAAAGCACTATAGATATATTCATTATAGTTTTATTATGATTTGGCAACATAGAAAAGTTCAGAAAAAAGGGTTAGAGACACTGAATTGATTTTAGTTTTGGTAGGGCCCAAAACTTAACTTTAGTTAAGGAAGATCCCTGCCTTATCCTGAGCAGTGGGTATAGAAGATATAGCCCTAAGGTCAAGATAAAAGAAGACCATCCTCCTTATGTGCACGTGATTTCACAGTGAAAGTCTTATACATTACACATATGTAGTGATAGAATTCTACAATAATGATCCTTAACTTCTTTGGGGTTATGAGTCCATTGGAGAGTATCATTAAGACTGTGGACCCTCTTACCAGAGAACTGTGTTCATATATATGTAATCCCCACATGAAGTTGTACAAATAATTTCAACACATTCAAGTACACTTTAGACTTTGAGGAACTCTCTAATCTAAGGTCACTTCTCTGAGTGGTACACCCAAGAAAGGAGCTGAGAGCCCCTAGCACCAATGGGAAAGTTGATGATCTAAGCTAGGAAGGATGTGATCCCTCATTAGGCATAAGGAATGCTAATCATCTCTGCTCTGCTGATAAACTGGAACCTCTAAGCATCCCTCAGCAGGGTACTTTCAGAATGTACTCACTGGTCCAGTGAGAGGCATAGCTTTGAAGTAGGAAGAGATGCTATGTGGTAGGAGGTGATCAATGATATAAAGAAGGTACCCACAAGGAGCCCCATGGTTGCTCAGAAAGTGACAGCTCAGAAGAAGCCAAAGATATAGCCTTTACGGAAGAGTAGGACCAGACTTACCAACAGAGGGTGGAAATGTTTCAGGGAAATCCTATGGGACCAGGAGAGATCAGAAAAAGAGCTGATGTCTATGTTCCTGGTAAACAATGTGATCTAACAACCTGTGGCTAGACTTCAGTGACTTTGTTGTTGTTGTTTGTTGTTTAAAGAATTGATATTCTCTTGACAAACTGGTCAATTTTATTTTATCATCTAATGGACAATTTCCCTTTTGCCTTGTTTCCAAGGAGGCTCAGAGGCTGTTTGTATGTTTTGTTTTGTTTTTGTTTTTGTTTTTGTGCTCTAACTGAATCCCCCCACCTTGGTCCTGAAATTCAATTCATGGACCTTGTTCTTTTTCTTTATTTTAATGTTCTGATAGCATCTCTCTTTATTTGTAAAACATTCCAACTCCTTTTGAGAATCAGGTAGTGAGCAGTAGGATAAATAATAAGTACATTAACTACAGAAACAAAATAACATTAAATATAGAAATAAAATAACTGCATCTGTGCCAAATATGTGTCTGTACAAAAATTCTGAATTCTTTTTTACAAGTTTGTATCTTGGTTAAATTATGTCTGGAAAACTGCCACCAACCTTTCTTTCTTGACTCAACTAAGTAAAGGAACCCAACAAGTTGGCCTTGAGCATTGTGGGGGATCACAGCGCCCCTAGAGGACGGTGGGAGAGTGGCATCGGCTATTCCCTCAGGAGATGAAAAGGTGAAACCCCAACTGATGGAGAAGGTTGGGGACAGTTTTCACCACAATCTTCTTCTGGGGCTTCCCCTCACCACCACCCCTCTGCTTGTTTAACAGATTCCTTTACAAGTAGGAGTTCTGGGGTGCCTGAGTGGCTCAGATGGTTAAGAGATGGACTCCTTGGTTTCAGCTCAGGTCATGATCTGAGGGTGGGGAGATCAAGCCCCGTTACGGGGGTTCTGTGCTCAGCGGGGAGTCTGCTTGAGATTCTCTTTCCCTCTCCCTCTGTCCCCCACCCCAACCCTGAGTTCTCTTTCTCTCCCTCAAATAAAACAAAAACAAACCAAGTAGGAGTTCTGCACAAGTTCCCCAGTGAGTAACAGGTGTCCCAAGCTTTGTCACAGCTCCACCTGGGATCTGACTGCCCTAAAGTAGCTGCCTCCACAACTCTGTCCCCAAAAGTCCTCTCCCCTAAACCAGGCCGCACAGTGCCGCAGTCTCCTGAGGGCTCTCTTCCTCACTGCTGTCCAAGATCACCACACAAGACCCTCATGTAAGGGGTTTTATTTGTCTTTAATTGCTCTCTCTAGAAAGTAAAAGATAATATATATGTGTGAAAGTTGCAATAAAAATAATGGCAACTCATACAACTCAATAGCAAAAAATAACAAACAATCTAATTAAAAACTGGTCGGAGGAACTGAATAAATATTTTTCCAAAGAAGACCTATAATGGAGCATGACATCACCAATCACCAGGGAAATGCTAAACGAAAATGATATATCACCTCACACCTGACAGAATGAATATCATCAAAAAAACAGGGGATAACAATATTGGTGACGATGTGGAGAAAGCGAACTCTTATGTACTGTAGGAATGCAAACTGGTGCAGCCACTATGGAAAACAGTATGGAGGTTCCTCACAAAATTAAAAATACAACCGCCATATGATCCAGCAATCCTACTTCTGAGCATATACCCAGAAGAAATAAAAACAGGATCTTGAAGAGATATCTGCACTCCCATATTCATTGTAGCACTATTCATAATAGCCAAGATATGGAAACAACCTAAGTGTCCATCATTGGATGAGTGGATAAAGAAAATATGGTATATATATATACACACATACACACACACATATATATACACACACAATAAAATATTATTCAGCCACAGAAAAGAAGGAAATGCTGCCATTTGGGACAACATGGATGGACCTTAAGGGCATTATGTTAAGTAAAATAAGCCCAACAGAGAAAGAAAAATACTGCACACGGTGTCACTTATATGTCGAATCTAAAAAAAAAAGTCAAAATCCTAGAAACAGAGAATAGAAAAGTGGTCGCCAGGGATTGTGGAGTGGAAGAAATAGGGAGAAGTTGGTAAAAAGGTATAAACTTTTAAAGCTATAAGATGAATAAGACCTAAGAACCTAACGTACAACATGACTATAGTTGGTTATTACACTGTATTATATAACTGAAATTTGCTAAGAGAGGGGTGCCTGGATGGCTCAGTCAGTTAAGTGTCCGACTTTTGGTTTTGGCTCAGGTCGTGATCTCAAGGTCATGAGATCAAACCCCGCATGGGGCTCTGCCTTTACCGGGGAGTCTGTGTGAGATTCTCTCTCTCCCTCTGCCCCTCCTGCTTGTGCTCTCCATCTCTCTCTAAAATAAATAAATAAATCTTAAAAAAAAAAAAAGAAATTTGCTAAGAGAGTAGAATTTAATTGCTCTCACCAAAAACTAACAAAGAAGATAAATATGTGAGGTGATGAGTGTGTTAATGAACTAAACAGGAACCCTTTCACACTGTATACATACTCCAAATCACTGCAATGTACACCCTAAGTATCTTGCAATTTTCTTTGTCAATTATACCTCAGTAAAATGAAAAAGTAATGCAACTATTGGGCTTTTAAAACACTTTGTTTTTCTTTTGGTTTTAAGGGGAATTCTAATGTTTCACACCGATGTATATAAGGTTGGCTCTCATTTTGGGATAACTCTTTTCAAAGTTGAGATTTTCGCGTTTTAAAAATGGACAGGAGCATTGAATTTTGATGAATGATTTATCAAATGTCTATTGAACTGATAACAAGAATTCCCCCTTCATTAACCACCTCTGTGAATTAAACCCTAAACTCAAGTTGGGAATGAGTTTCCTTTGAATTTTTGAGAACTTTATTCTCTGGAGATTGTATTCAAGATTTTCTGTATTGAGAGGCTGAACCACAGGTTTTGGGATTTGTGGTCTTTATGAAAGGGTTTTGGGATCAAGGTTGTGTTTGGCAAAGTAAAGTAGAAGACACTCATTCTCGACGTCCTGTTCATTCAGTCTCCCAGTTCTCTCTCAAATGCTACCCTTTCCCTCAATTCACAGCACTACTCCCTTAATGCAAACCCATGGCATCTGTCATCCGGTTTACCATGAAGCCATTTCCCTCATTTGCCCCACTCCCCACCATGCTTCTAGACTGGTCTTTCTAAAATGCAAATGTCATCACATGGCTTCTCTGCTCACTACCATTTCTGGTTCCCTGAAGTCTTCAGAATAGAAGTGAAAGGGAGGGGGGTGCCAGTCAGTTAAGCATCGATTCTTGGTTTCAGCTCAGGTCATGATCTCAGGGCCGTGAACTCAAGCCCTATGTGGGGTTCTGTGCTCAGTAGGGAGTCTTCTGGAGATTTTCTCTCTCACTCTGCCCCTCCCCTCACTTGCATGCTCTCTCTCTCTCAAATAAATAACTAAATAACTAAATAACTAAATAAATAAAATCTTTAAAAAAAGGAAATTAAGGGAAGATGGGAATGGGGGTGCTCTCTAGGTCTTTATCATAGCAGAAAGTCCATTGATAATGTCTAAATTTAATCAATGAATAAAGATGGAAGCATATTAAAGAGCCAAGATGTCCATCGACAGATGACTGGATAAAGAAGATGTGGTATATATAT